CAGGAGCGTCTTTTAATTTCTTGGCTGCAGTCCCCATCTGCGGTGATCTTGGAGCCCAGGAAAATAAAATCTGTCACTACCTCCATTTCTTCCCCATCTATTTGCCAAGAAGTGAGAGGATCGGATGCCATGATCTTAGTTTTCTTAGTGTTGAGTTTCAAGCCAACTTTTGCGCTCTCCTCCTTCACCCGCATCAAGAGGCTCTTTGGTTCCTCTTCACTTTCTGCCATGAGAGTGGTATCATCTGCATATCTGAGGTTGTTGATATTTCTCCCAGCAATCTTAATTCCAACTGGTGATTCGTTTAGCCCCGCCTTTCTCATGATGTGCTCTGCATCTAAGTTAAATAGGCAGGGCGACAGTATACAGCCTTGCCGAACTCCTTTCTCAATTTTGAGCCAATCAGTGGTTCCGTGCCCAGTTCTCACTGTAGCTTCTTGACCCGCATATAGGTTTCTCAAGAGACAAGTAAGATGGTCAGGTACTCCCATCTCTTTAAGAACATGCCACAGTTTGCTGTGATCCACACAATCAAAGGCACATTGGACACCTTCCGACCTGAGGGGCTCATCTTCCGGTGTCGTATCTTTTTGCCTTTTGGTACTGTCCATGGGGTTTTCATGGCAAAGATACTGGAGTGGGTTGCCATTTCCTTCTCCCATGGATCAGCTTCTGTCAGAGCTCTCTGCTACGACCTGTCCGTCTTGGGTAGCCCTGCTTGGCATGGCTCACAGCTTCATTGAGCTACGCAAGCCCCTTCGCCACGGCAAGGCAGTGATCCACAAAGGGGACCAATATCAGCTTGATTAAATTTCAGAGGTGGCACCTCCTCCCCTTGAGGCCGTAAGACCCACAGCTCTGTGTGTGGGAAATGCTGCAACCACACTTACCAGGAGGAACGCCAGTTCCCGGCTCAGCTCATACACAGAACTCAGGGGGCTCCCAGACGCCATCTGCACTTTCTGGAAATTCCAAGACTGAAGTTACAGGTGGAAAGCAAAGCTTAGCTAGGGCCACGAAGACCAATGGTGGCAGCACCCTAGATTAGCAAAGAGCTTTCAGCTGAAGCCTTTGCCAACTACAGCTTGGGCTTTTACTAGCTTTGCCAAGCGGAGACTGTTGGCCTTGACATGACCTTGGCCAGAGCGTCTGCACTGCAATGCCAGCATCCTGATGGCCTGGCAGAAACCTGCCGCAAATCACAGAAGGGTAGCTTTTGTGTCTTGGACCCGGGTAAGATGGAGCCAGTGCTGTGCAGCTGAGCAGGCTCCCTTGGCCAAGCACAACGATAGATACCCACCACAAGCTGTACATAAACCTCAAATCCTTTCTAACTATGCATTTGAAAAAGTGGGTGATAGTCCATGAACTCTTACGCCAGAATAAATGTATTACTTTAATATGCCCAGCTGTTTTGCTGTAACAGTCTAACATGGCTATCCTCTGGAAATGGTTACGTGAAGGCTAACAAATTACCACTCCTTCACCCTGGCCACCATTAAATGACCCTGATTTTGCAATAGTTTTACTCTTGTGCTGCAACAACACCCGGGGGGGGGGGTCCGTACCAGTGTAGCAGCAGAAGTGAGGGAAGGCGTCTGCAGGAGCTTTGTGACCGTGTTCCAAGCAAAGTCAACATAAATATTTCTCTCCAAGGAAATGAGCGTGTCTTCCAGAGCGAGGGAGTCCAGTGGAGTGGCATCAAGAAACTCGTAACGAGCAAAGCCCTTTACTGTCAACTGAAATTAACATAATTTACAGTTGTAACCTGCTATTGAAAAATAAATCATAGCTTCGGACTGTGGGGAAGAGAATAAAAACCTAACTAAATTTTCTGATCCTGCTGAGGATACAGCCCTAAACAGACCTTACTTCTAAGCAAATATCTATAGGACAGCAATATAAATGCACACAATGGTTTTTAATCTGGGAACCTACACTGGTCTATAGTACTGTCCCCATTTCAATCAATGCCTTTTGGGCCACTTTCAAATACAAATGGCAGTCAGTTGCAAGCCCTTCTTTCTGAAGTACGTCAAGCCACGCAAGGGAAGAAAATGCCCCCAGGGCAATGGGGTACATACTGGAGCTTCTATATCATAGCAGGAGAGCACAAGGGGTGACTCACCTGTGCGCACACGTACATGTGTGCAAGTTGTTTGTTTCTGTTTCATTTGATGTAGTATTAGCCAATTTATTTTTGCCACAGTAGGTTATTTTGCATGCATCTGTTTCTTTGAACACTACCCATTTGCCTCAGTAAAATATTTGTGCTTTGTGGGGGCAAATATATTATTGGCATCTGGAACTCAGACCCCCAACTCTACCTCATCCTCAGTTGCTTGGTCTTCAAACAGCATGCTGGGAGTAGAAAACCACAGGTTCAAAGGAGCAGTTTGCGTTTTGGAGCTCAGAATAACCTTGTATTTAGGCCCTTAGGCAAGTCACTTTCCTTTCAGCCTTCACCAGCTTGCCTCTGGGAAGTGGGTACTTTGTGACTGCCCATGCTTGCTGTAGCAGCTATTTTGTGAGAGAACCCAGAATACGCTTTCAAAATTTCAGCTGTGCTGACTAGCCTAAATAGAGCATCTTTGGAGGCCATGAGCACATCTAGCAACTCAAGGGAATCACCTGGGTACTGCCAGGAAATGGCTGCTGTGGGAAGCCTGGCAAAGGGCGAATGACCTCTCCACAGGACTGAATAAAAGGTGGTGTCTGAATCCCAGCATGCTAAAAGAAAAAAAATCAACTGAACCTAGTTTTCCACACCAGCAGAAACCTCTTTCACACAGAATCAGCTGCTCATAAGAAAATGCATTATTATTTTAAAACCGAAGGGGTGCAGCACCAGATAACCCTGGTTGCACTGGCACCCACGGGCACCGTGCTGCCTATCCCCGCATTCAAGCAGGGAACGTTTCCAGGCCAAGTGCAGGTGTTTTGGGAGCTAGGGCTTGCAGCACCATGCCGATCCTCTGGGAGCCCAATAAGCAAGGAAGAACCTCGGATGCCCCTGCACATGGCGGAATGAGAAAATTTGCGATGTTTGCAAAGGGATGGATAAAAATGAGAAACCTACATTGGAAGAGTGATGTCTCATTCTGTGCATCTCTTTCAGCTCTTCAAGGTCTGCGGAATATTTTTTCTTTGACACTGGACCTGGAAAAAAGCATCTGGACTCAGCAGGGCTTATTCAACTAGCAGGAGGTTTACAGGGCAGCCTGCCCGTGTCCCCCATCTCCACGCGCCCACGGGAAGAGACACACCTCTCTGACACAAGGAGGACACAGGGCATGAGGCAAGCTCGCAGGAGAAGCTTCTGGGGACGCCCCAAACAGGTACACGCACTGTGGAGCCAGGCTACATTATTTCCCTCCCATTCCTCATCAAGGGAAGGAATAAGCTACCCTGTAGAATAATCTACAAACTGAGGAAGTCTACCGAAGCAGGCTCCTCCCGTCCTGCAGGGAGAAGCAAAGTGGGTTTTCGGAAACGCTACTCCAACACAAAGTCAGGATTACACCTTTAATAGCTACATTTCCAAGGATCAGCATCTGAGAATGAAATAAATGTTTTCCTGCTGCACCCACCACCCCAAAAGTAAAATTAAATAAAAAAATAAAAATCAATGAAACGCACATTCAGTTTTTAAGTACAGTCAATTCTCTAAGCAGACTATAAGCACCACACTTGTTAACATCTTTTTTATTTTTAAAAAATCCTTTAATATACATAGAGACATGCCCTGATCAAGAAAAAAGTACCTTTGCAAGTAACTGTATAAAGATTGATTCCTATAATCTTGTTTCCAGTGCTGAGAGGCTCAGCTCCTAGCCATATTGTTTGTTTCAGGTCAGACCGATCACATCGCACCCAAAGTGGAGGAAGTAACACCAGTGTTAAGTTCATGTTTGGATTTTGGGACATTGTATAGAATGAAATCAGTTGCCTAGAAACAGATGCGAAGTCATAAGATATGTTAAACATCTTAACAAACGATGTTGCTCTCTTTCAGAACCTAGTAGTCCAGTTTAACAAAAATATCTTGGCTTAAATAAGCTGAGATATGCGCAAGCATTTTGCCAACATGCTCTGCATTCACACTGCCCATTGTCATAACTAAGGAAGCCTCCAATTATCTGCAGTTTGCTATTATGTCCGAACAGAGAGTATAGTTACCAGGCCAGAACAACCCAGGAAATTTCAAGCTGGTCTGCTATGATGGTCACTAACAAGAGCAAAACCAAGATCAAAACCAGGATTAAACACACCTTGCTCTTGAAATGGGTAAAGCCAATGGTGAAGAATTCTCACTTGGGCAAGCCTCCAAAGTAGAAGTGCCACCAGTCTGCGGATCTTCTAGTTTGTCGATTGCTTCACATGGTCGCTATTGGAATAAGCAGTTCTATTAGAATGATGGCCAGTCCCAGAAAAAGGCAGAAGTCTGAATTGAGGAGATACAGCTTACCACTTTTTCTACAACAAACATCACACCACTCCTGTCCCAGAAGACATCCAAGGGGCTCGCGCATCCTTCACCAATCAAATAACCTTGCAGATCAGTCTGGGAAAAGAACACAGCTCTGTTTATGTACCACAGTTTTTTGACAGTGTAAGATTCAATTCTAATTTAGATCGCTAGCCGCTGAAGCAAGCCTGTTCCAAGTGGAAGCAATGCTGAATACTTTCCCCACTGCCTGGTAGTTATCCTTCAAAACTCAGGCATAATATTTCTGCAGCTCTCCATTCTCATATTCCACTAGTGGTAATGCTGAATTGAACTTCTACTGAATGAGAAAATCCAAAATCTGCATTAGGTTAATCCCTTTATTAGATCACCAAAAGATCACCATGAAAGCAAAGCACACAAGGCCCCTTGATAGTGGAAGGTGTCATATAATGAAAAACTCTTCTACTAAACAACATGTGATTCTTGAACACAACTTGAGAATATCTAAGCAATTAGGCTGGTCAGTTTTAAAACAAGTTCAATATGGAATTATATGAATGTTTTCTAATGAACCACCAGCTTTTCAAGGCAAAGAACACTGAAGCTGTACGTAAAACTTGAAGTACCTGACTATGAACAAAATAATGTAAATGAGAGAGAAAAATCCATCCTTTTTGCTCCTTAAAAGGGGCTTCAGTCATTTCAACAGCTGCCCAAATCTGTACCTTTAGGCACATAATGCAACTGGCTCAAAATCTCTATTTCTTTTAGTGTGAGCTGATTTGTCATTTCTAATTAGATACATTACCCCACTTTGGAAAATCTGGATTTTTAATGTTTATTAATCAATTTCATGCAAAATTATGCTTCCCCATGTATTAACAAAAATGAGCAGTTTAGCAACTATGGAGAGTAGAGCCAAAGACTTCAACTATTTTTGTAAAACAAAATGATTGTTTGGAAAAAATTAAACACCCATACCTCAAATATACACGGTCCTTTATTGATGTTCTTCTTTCCTTCCTCATATAGTCTGAAACATAACAAATCATTTATAGAATGATTTTCTGAACAGGCTTCACTAGAAATATCTGAAGGCCAATTCCAACCATTTCTGGAAACTTTCAGAAAATAAACATTGCTAAAAATACCATCTGGCATGGAGTTGCCATTACATCCACACACTGCCTCAGCTGTGGTCCTTTCATGGCGATCTAGCATGAAGAAATCTAGGACAAAATAGTAGGGAAAATTTTATCCACTTGATTTCTGACTGTCAGGCTTTGAATAAAATGACATCTCAAGAAAAAACACCCAGTAACCTTAGATCACTTCCTTGTTTTATCCTCACTGCTAGCACCACTCCCAAATGCACAATTCTATGCATAGATGGGGAGGAGGGGGATGAAGAGGAGAGGCTAGGGACGTCACTGAGGATCAAGCCCAATTTCACCTCTTCGCTTGCCTTGCCCATTCTGTGCTCCTCAGCTTAAGTCAATCAGCAGCAAGGAGAATTAGGCTATACCGGTGCCCAGTTTTCAGCAAACTGCCAAGTATTTGCAGTTTATAGATTTTTGCAAAAGTGTGCAGGATTAGAAGCCCATTATGATCCAACACGGTCACTCAGGGCTGATCCGGTGTGTCCTGGGGAAGGGACTAATGCTGCAGACTACAGTGATGGCGCCACCTTTAACACCAGCTCAGCGAGCAAGAGAAACTTTAGCCTGAGGTGGGACACATGTTGGAGAGGAAGGGTTGAACTGTCCCCCAGCAGACCTTCTGTGGGCCAGAGGACCTCAGTGGGTGTGGATCATCCCCTTCACTCCATTACTAGTCTTGCCTTTCTCTGCTGAGAGGCACAGAGAGAGGGCCTCAGAAAGGAGGAGGGCAAGGGAGGAGCAAACTTTTTTTGTAGTGGCACCTGACTTTCAGGATAGATGGGATACACAAGCTAACTCATATTAGTACTGCAAAGGTGGCAAATGAGACATCATAGGGAACACTTCAGAATATTTCCTACCTTGGAAACCCTGTGATGAAACAATCCAACATGCAACAAGAGAGTGCCAGAAGATGAACCTTCCAGGCTGGAAGGCACAGAACCAGCTACTTGGGGAAGAGTAAAGGACAAGTAGCCTTCATAGTCAGTAAAAGAGTAGGAAAAGCAGCACTGGGATACAATCTCCAAAATGACAGAATGATCTCAGTTAGAATCCAAGGCAAACCATTCAACATCACAGTAGTCCAAGTCTATGCCCCAGCCACTGGTGCTGAAGAGGCTGAAGTTGACCGGTTCTATGAAGGCCTCCAACACCTTCTAGAATTAACACCAAAAAATGATGTCTTCATCATCATGGGGGATTGGAATGCTAAAGTAAGAAGCTGAAAGATAACCGGAATAACAGGCAAGTTTGGTCTTGGAGTACAAAATGAAGCAGGGCACAGGTTGGTAGAATTTTGTCAAGAGAATACGATTGTCATAGCAAACACTCTTTTCCAACAACCCAAGAGACGACTCTACACATGGACATCACCAGACGGTCAACACAGAAATCAGATTGACTATGTGCTCTGCAGCCAAAGATGGAGAAGCTCCATACAGTCAGTAAAAACTAGACCAAGAGTTGACTGTGGCTCAGATGCACTTCTTGGCTGTGATAGTTGGGCCATAAGGAAGGCTGAGCACCAAAGAATTGAGGCCTTTGAATTGTGGTGCTGGTGGAGACTCCTGCAAGTCCCTTGGACTGCAAGGCAATCAAACCGGTCAGTCCTAGAGGAGATCAACCCTGACTGCTCTTTAGAAGGCCAGATCCTGAAGATGAAACTCAAATACTTTGGCCACCTGATGAGAAGGAAGGATTCCCTGGAGAAGAGCCTGATGCTGGGAACAATAGATGGCAAAAGAAGAAGGGGACGGCAGAGGATGAGGTGGCTGGATGGAGTCACTGAGGCAGCTGGTGTGAGCTTAAGTGGACTCCGGGGGATGGTGGAGGACCTGAAGGCCTGGAGGAATGTTATCCATGAGGTCGCGATGGGTCGGACAACAACAACAAAGGACAAGTACAAATAGAGATGTGACTAATGATGCAACTAGATCAAAGCTGAAAGGAAGTCTAGTGGCTGACATGTTGTAGAGGGGAAAGGAAACTTGGACGCTGTGTACAACTGCGACAAGGGACATGAAAATTATGAATCATGGCAAACTGGAAATGATAAAGCAAAATGGAAGGGTTAAACATTGCAGCACCTGGTATCAGTGAACTACAAGGGACTGGAAAGGGATATTTTTGTCCAAAATCGAGTGCTTTGAAATTATAAACTAAGAAGCAATGAAGCAGCTTTAATATTGAAGCAAAATATAGCACAGGAGGTAGTAGTAGTAATAATAATCAAAATTCTTAGAAAATCGATCAATATAACCATTCAAGTCTCTACTCCAACAATAGATGCTGCAGAAGGAATTGTACATGTTTATGCAAGGGACCAAGAAGAAACTGACAGCAAATCAAAAGAAGACATAATAGGTGACAATTGTAGATGACTGGGACACAGAAGTAGGAAACAAAACAGAATCCAGCATTGTGGAAAAAATTGGCCTATAGGCCAGAAATGAAGTGGGAGAACAACTTGTGTAATTCTGTGAAGCCAACCATCTCAGTATTGCAAAGATGCACTTCAGGCAACCAGAAAACAGAGACATCACCAGATGGGCAGTGCAAAAATTAAATACACTAAGCAGTTGGAAGCAGAAGCTGGAGAAGCTGTTATTCCTGGTACCAGCCAAAATCAGGAGCAAATTGTGGTAACAAACATGAACGGAGAATATCAAAACTCAGAGTCAAGCTGAAAAAAGATCAGTAACAGAAGCAAAGTGCTTCAGGCACAACTTCAGTAACATTCCTGAGGAACTGAAATAAATAACAGATTTGCATTACTAAATGCAATTCACCATGATCAGAAGACCTGTGAAGTCAGAGACATGATCAGGGAAGAGTGCCAAAAGGTAACTCGTGCAGCAAACTTTCTTTTAAAAAGTTAAAAAGCCTAAATAGATGAGAGAAGAAACACTCAGAATCGCTTCAGGACAGACCAGATGAGAAAGCAAAAGGTGAGAGAAACAGGGTAAGAAATCTGAAGGCAACTTCTCAGTGAGTATTACGCAGAGACAAAATGAACTATTACAATGGCCAGTGCAAAGAAATAGAAGGGAACGAGAGAGAGAGAGACCTTTTCCAGAAGACCCAAGAAATCAAAGGGCACTTCAAACTTAGATTAGGAATGATGAAAGACAAACATGTGGTCTCACTGGGAGACAATAAACACCAATGAAAATTATGTATGGAAGAGCTATACAGAAGAGATGAAAAGAAGCGAGACTACTTCAGAAAAGAACCCTATGAGGAAGAACCTGCAAGATTCAAAAGTGGAGCAAAAGCTGCTCTGGAGCAGACAGGGCAGCAGCAGAACTGTTGCAAGCTGCGCAGCACAAACTGTAACTGTCCAATGTGCATTCTGATTCAAGGGAGATGTGAAAGGGTACGGCAACCGTCGAGTCATTGCGCTGTTTTCCCATACAAGCAAAATAACGCTCAGGGTGTTACAACAAAGACTACTAGCCTATATGGAAAGAGAAATGCCTAACATTCTAACTGGATTCCTACAAAGAAGAGGCACTAGAGATTGTATCACACTGGCTGCTGGCGTGCACCAAAGAACTTCCCAAGGCTGGTCAATACTTTATGGCATGGGTCCACAGGCTATGGCCTGCGGGCTGCATCCAGCCCACCATGCCCACTTATCCGGCCCGCGATAGCTTGCCATGCGTGCGCAGCCAGATGCCAGCTTGCTCGCAAGGAGATCCTTTTGGACTCGTTGGGAGAAAATGATCTCTGCGCACACATGCCCTGCCTTTCCGCGCGCACACATGTGCATGCCCCCCACCCCATCCCGGCCCACACTGCCTTGGCAGACTGCGCCCGTCCCCGGCACCTTTCAACTGGTCCCCTATTCAAAAAGTTTGAGGACCCCTGCTTTATAGGCTATGGCAAAGTCTTTGTGTTGATCCTGAGAAACTAGAGTGATTCTGAAAGAAACGGGTCTTCCTTCATTGCTGCTATGTGCCATTAAACTGTCTCTGACTTATGAGGATCCTATGAATCCCCCACCCAGACTGTCCTGTCCTTGGCAGTCCCACTCAGCTTTTGCAAATTCAGGGCTGTGGCTTCTTTTCTGGAATTGATCCATCTCATATTTGGTCTTCCCTTCTTCTTCGGCCTTCAATTTTCCCTTGCATGTTCGTCTTCTCCAGAGTCTGGCCTTCTCATGATGTGCTCAAATGTAATTCAGTTTTGTCATTTCTGCTTTCAGGGAAAGTTTCAGCTTGAATTGACCTAGTCCACTTGTTTGTCAGCCCAGGGTAATCTCAAAATTCTCCTCCAACACCATATTTTGAGCTGAATGAATTTCTTCCTCTCAGCCTTCCTCGCTGTACAGCTCTCACCCCCATACACAGTGATTGGGAATGCAATACCATGGAAGATCTTAGCCTTGTTCTCAAGTGAAATAGTGTTACATGTGATGATCTTTTTTAGTTCCTTGAGACTCTGGCCATTGGCCAGTTGGGTGGGTGGCTTGTAGTTGTAGGCTACATGATGATAATGAATTGTTTAATACTTCGGGTGTTATTGCTTTAGTAATGTTATGAATTCTGTAAACTGTTGTGTTTTATTACTTCATGTAGCTATTTTGATTCCGTTTTGTTTTGAACTCTTGTACCTTGCTTTGTTCATTTTACTATTTCTTGCATATCAGACTAATGTGTTCTGCAAACTGCTCCAAGAGCCTTTTATGGCCAAATGATAGTACAGAAAATGAATTTAATAATAGCTGCCCTTCCCTGTCTCAGCTTTCTTCTAATTTCTTGGCTGCAGTCTCCCTTTGAATTGATGGTTGAACCAAAGTATACAAAATATTTCACAATTTCAATTTCTTCACTGCTGATCTTAAAGTTATCTAACTCTTCTGTAGTCATGATATTTACTTCATATTTAGCAGCAGTCCTACTCTTGTACTTTCTTCTTAAGATCCTAATAAGCCAGAGACAACTTCATGCCATGTAACAACACATTTTCACTGATACTATTAAGTCACACTTCGTAAATCACTCTGGTCTTAATATTAACTAAACTGTGGCTTTAAATTAGCTGCCTTCAGCTGTGTATTGTATTGTCTTTTGGTTATTGTATTCTAATGGCTTGTTTTTAT